TAGATAGATAGATAGATAGATAGATAGATAGATAGATAGATAGATAGATAGATAGATAGATAGATAGATCAGTTTGGATACTGCAGATGGAATTCATATAACACATTGCAAATTGATTATTTCTGTCTTCCAACAGTTAATAGAATTCTCATTATTGGAGGCAGGTAGAGAAACTGTTGATTTATTAAGATGTGTTTCCAACTGCATTGTTAAACTAAGAAGGTTTTTTTTTTCCTAAAGGAATCTGACAATAGCTTTCTTTCCAAGACACAGCTGAGCAATTTATGTTGATCTGTGCAGGGTTTATGCATAATGGAAAATCAATGCTATTGATTAAATGGAATAAAAGATTGTCTGTTTAAAAAAAGCAATTATGAAATATAGTCATCTCTCAGCATTTTAATTATTTTCAGCTGATAAGAACCAGTGTGCATTTCCCCTGGAAAACAAAATAATTAAACTTTAAGATGATTAACTGAATTTCTTACCCAAAATGTGCACAACTTCTGCGCATGGTACCATCACTATGATTATTACCCTTTTAAAAAAAACCTAGTATCATGTCATGGGAATTTTTTTTTTCTGGAGTCCCTTAACTTTTAACATCCCAACCAACAAATATAGGAATGAATACAGTCCTCCATCAAAGCATCACCATTAAAAAAATATAATTCTTAGGAGTATAAAGTTCTTAAACATAACTTTGTACATATTGGGCTATTTGGAGTGATATCTGCAGGATGGAGTCAAAAGAATCAAAAGTGCCCAGGCAGTGTTTGTGAATGTACATTGAGCATTCTATCCCATGCCAAGCAAATACAAGCGCACAAGAGGTGGCTGCAAACTTTACAGAGAAGTTTTGTCAAGTAAATAACCAAGCAGCAAAGAAAGCATGAATGCAAACACATACAAACACACACATATAGAGAAACCATAGAGAAACAGGTTCCCCAAAGTGCAGGAAGCTTGCTTTAAATGAATCCCAGTCCAAAAGAGCAGGCACGAGAGTAATCAAGCAAAGTCCAAGTATCCAAACCTTGCAGAAGGTCCATCAGCCAATCCAGCTCCAGAATGAAAGTCACAAGGTTCAAATCAAGAGTAAAGGCAAAGAGAATCTGGGTAAATGAGTGGTTGTTGCCAACAAGGCTTCAACTCACTGCTTTTGTGAACAGAAGTAGTCCCAGTGTAGCTCATTTGAAAGGACAATTTGCCGTTGTTGTTTTATTGCAAGAAACCTTTCATGCTCTCTCTCTATACTGTGAGTGCTTGCATTGTGAGAGGGTGGCAGTTCAAATTCCTCATCTTCGGGGATTTGTAGCAGATGTGCCTTCTGGTTACCAGACAAGTCCACCTCCTCTGGCTGAAAATCTTCAGACAGAAGTTCATCTCTGCGACTGAATGTTCATTGTCATGAAGTCTGAGCTCCATAACAACAGGCTCCTAGACCCTGAAGTCCTTCTGGATTCTCACGTTTCAATTAAATTCAAGGGTAGATAACATGAAGGGTAGATAACTTCAAGATCCATTGAAGTTTTCCACTGGTGGTGCTATTTTGATTAATGAAAAGTCTACCGCTTTTTAAAAAGTTCCTGCTGGCTTTCTCCATTTTCTTAGGAGAAATGGGTCTAGTTCTAAATCTAATCAGTTCCAGATGCTAACCAAGTGTGTTAATTTGCTTACCACCCCATCCCGGGAAAGAGAGATCTTTAAAAGTGCAATCTTTGAACTCCACATTGTGTTGTCTTATACTCATTTCTTGTGAACATCTGAGAGAGAAGACAATGATCCTAATTCCATGAAGTTTGAGTCAAATCCAACAGGACACTGTTAAATTGTGACAATCTTACAGTACTGAATCTGAGTAGTAAAGATCAAACTGGCAACTCTGGTAGGACTGTATGTAAGAAAAACATACGAGTACTAGTGAAGTATAATCTGAATGTGATACAACGCGTCCAAAA